AGGTATCACTTTTTCTGGGACTCTTTCTGTGCCCAGGGCCTTAGAAAGCAACTGACCCTGTTGTAGCCAAGTCCTTTTCCTAATCTCCTCTGAGGGCACAGAGCCATATTTGACACCTGTCTCTCAAATTCACAAGTCTCCTCTTGAATCAGCCCACAATGTTTCCCTGTAGAAGCCTGTCAGCTACCTCTGTTTCCCTTGGCACTGCAGACTGTAGCTGCTATAGCCATTAAGCTCCCACTTTCCCTAGTGTCTAAAAGGAATACTTCCTTGGCATGCACGAAGTCGATGGTATTGTGATAAAAATGTGAAGCCTATTTCCACTTAGTAAATATGCACTTAGTAAAGTATGTAATATTTGTAAAAACATTGTTATTGAAGAGATGCTAAGTAAGTGACATTTCTGTACTATCCATAAATGCTTCCTGGACACATTATTTTGCATCTAATGTTTTGACGAAAATGCCAATTCCTTTTTTTATCTCATCTCTTCTGATGTTTCAGAGCCTGAACCTAGTTTAGTTTAATTCTTGCCTTAGTTCTACTAAAAACTTCAGTGATGGCAGCAGATTGACACAAAGGATCCTTTTTAGTTGTCAGATAAGAATCTGAAGTTTGGTTCATACTTACCAACAATTTTCATTTTAATTTTGTTAACTTAGTGTAGGATTCGCTTTAAAAAAGGCACACTGCAGTGCTGTAGAGGAAGGTGTGGCTGAATAGAGTCATGCTTTAAGCATGGAAAATGATTCAATTGTAAAAAATTCATGCTGGGGTCTGGACATCAAGTGTCCCATGTTAGTATGCATCACTGGACTAAGAAAAAATACAACACTTTCTCTCTGTGGTTATAAAATTGGAGACTGTGCATTGTTGTCAATGGCAGAAGGAACAGAAAATAGATCTGGGTTTAAATATTATATATATATTAAAAAGGCTTTTTTTTCCCCAGATGTGTGTATTGATTGGGAAACAAACTGGAGGGGGAGGGGGGAAATCCTTTGAAATAAACCAGATTCCTAATGGAATAAGAAAACTCCCTCCAGTGCATTTTCTCCCTCTGTGTCAGCTTTTATAGTTCTGTTTCTGGCACGCATCTTTTGAGATTTCTTTAAAGATTGTTAGGAAATTTTCTCTTACATCAACAAATAATTTTCAGTGCCTGAGTAAAGCTTTAATAAAAAGCATCTTGCACAGAAAATTGGTATTCAGGGTGGGAAAGGGCCAAAAGGGGTTGTAGGGGGGAAGCACAGGACTAGTTTGTAATTTGCTTTTTACTTTGTAAGATCACCAAAATGTAAATAATTGCTTTTTTTCAGGAAAAAAAAATGCTTGTATAAGACATGTGTATGTAAAGATGTCTATGAAGAACTGCAATCTGTTACTTCATTTGCACTTACAGGGTTGTGGTTATTAATGTCACGTTGTCATTAAGTTGCCCTGTCTCAGACTGACTCAGCCTGTTAGCTACCACTCAGTAACTAGTGAAGACCAACATTTGAAGGAAACTCTTAGGGGTTCAGATAGTGCTAGAGGGAGCCCCTTCCAACAATACTTGAAAAACCTGGAAAACGTACAGTAGACCAAGTGTTTTGCTGAAGCTTTAAATGCTAGCAGAAGGCTTTCCACGTTTTTACTGGCAAAAAGATCCTTGACTCACCTGCTAATTTTTTCTTTTCCCTTTAGGGGTGTACAATGAACAGTAAGCAGGAATACCTCTGTACAGAGTTCAGCTGAGCTACCAGCAAAATTCCTGTCTGAGAGCGTATTGCATTACGGGCTCAGCAGACCAGTAATGCTCTCCTGACTCTTTTTTTTTTAACATAATGACAACACTACAGTCTGTTACCAAAATACTTTGGGGCGGAGAGATGGGATGCATGTGTATGCATGTGTCTGCCTAGAAGTTCATGCCCCAAAGGTGGAGGGAGCAAGTTTGACATGACACACCTTGAGGATTGAAGGTAAAGGACATACAGGATGCACATCTGGAACTCCCATATGAATGAGAGAATTAATAGAGCACGAAGCATACCCATAAAACAGAAGGTTGAGTCTTTTTTGGCTCTAGGTCTAAGTTAAAAACCACATTTTGATAATTCATTATACATCCAGAATGTCTAAAGTATTGGTTATTCACAAAGTGCCCAGGAGTGACTAAGGAATGCCACTTCTGATCCAAAAGGAGTGGATATTAGCCGTATTACCTTGGCACTTTGATCACCAGGGGAAGGGAGAGAATCATGAGTATGAAGTGCTTTTTTGTACTGACGTAGGAAGGGAGAGTAGGAATGGATGTAACCCTGAGGAGACTTTTAGGTGTTTTCAGCAGTAACTGACTAAAAATGTATGTTTTCAAAATATGCTGGAAGACTTTCTTACAGGAGATAATCAGTCCCACAGCACTAAAATTTTTTATGGCAGATGTTAAAAAGCAAAACTTTTTGCTTTTGATTTTAGGTCCACCTATTTTGCAGTGGAGTGTTTGTTTACCCTTTTTGTGCTGGTTGGTGTAAAAAAACAAGCAACAACCAAATAGCCCAATGCAAATGGAAAAGTAAAAGGAGAAAAATTCACAATACCAAATATGTAGTAGTGGAAGCTATATTCAGCACTTGAAAAAATGTGTATTCTTTTATATTAGAAGCATCCTTGTCTTACAATCTCAAGAAAAGAGCATAAACTAAAGGTTCCAAGTCTGCCACATCTTCTGCACATGTTTAACTTCAGGCACTGGGCACTGTCATGGGTTTTGATGGTAATGTGAGGAAGTTCAAACATACAGTAAGTCTTTGCAAAAATTAATCTAGAGGACTGTTGTCTAAGTGGTCTGCAGGAGCTTGACTGCTGCTAGTGTTGTTTTCGTTTTGTTGTTTTTCTCTCCAGCTGTAAATCTCGCTTTTAAAATACCAAAGTGTGCCAGATGCTTTTCAAATAACATGCCTCAATACCATTATTTGCAACAGTCGCCAGGAGGGTACTACAAGTTCTCAAAGGGGAGCAAAATGTCTGCAAAACCCACTCTGTGTTAAGATACAGTTCCTGCTTGAAAATCACAAATCCTTGGGTTATGTCCACATAGCCATCGTGTAGACTCAGAAGCCTTGAAGAAAACATTTTTTCTATTACTTGCTGAAATATTGACTTTCTGCCTAAGTAAAACAAGATACATCAGAGGAAGAGAGAAGTTGGTAGTGGAGCAATTATGGTTTTGACTTCTCTGCAACTGAACTATTCTTCAGCTAAATAGGTGTGCCTCTCTCCCTAGCAGACACACTGAAAATACAGGCCTGTGGTTGCTACTGTTGTAACTAGTGGGATCACAGCATGCCAGTGCTGGGCTGAGTAAAAGCTTGATGTGGTAATTAATATGTAAGACACTGATCAAATTAATTTTAAATTAATTTAATTTAGTGATCAAATTAATCTAAAATGTATTTAATTTTAGAAACCCTGCCTAAACCCCAATTTGTTCAGGTTTGTTGAATGTGTTTCTGGCTCTACCCTGGTTAATCGACATCTATGCTGTCACAGCCACAGAGCTATAGAGTCAGTGTTACTTAAGGAGATGGCTTTGCATGCTTCCCTGAAATGTCAGAACATGAAAGCGATAGCAGAAGATGTGACGTAGAGGAAAGCTTGGTGCTCTAAAACTATTTTTCTTACTTTGTTCATCATCCTTGTTATCCTACTGGGCACGAAGCTGTGGTACCTGTGGTCATCTCTGGATGGTCATTTCCTCCATAAATTATTTCTGTTGAGATCACTACTGAGAGGTCAAAGATGGAAGGAGCGTGCTCAGCAGCAGCACTCATCTCTCAAACTGGTTGCATCTCATGTAGCATACTGCTGAAATACCTCAGAGTCTATTGCCCATGGCATTTGCCCGTCTACCAAAATTATATCCTAGTTGTCTTTCCAGTCTTTCACTTGCTTTGCTTGGAGAACTAAGAACAGGAGTGGAAACGACTTGTACATCACAATGTCAGCACAGAGGGAAAACAGTTGAAATAATCTTACAGCAAAAGCAACCTTTCTTAGTAGCAGAGGCCCTTTTTATGCCTGTTTTTTTGCCATTACAGCAAAATACAATGTAAAGAAGTTGTAAATTGTTTTGTGGGGTATTTTGGGGGTTGACTGCTTCCACTGTTACAATTAACCCTAGCAAAAAGAGCATGTAAATGTTGTGCAAAAGCTCTGTAATAAGTTTCCAGGCATGCTGTTTCTGTGCCACTTTTCTGAGCTTCTTTTTTGAAATCCAACTGAAGTTCACTTTAGTCCATTGGAAAAAAAGTGCTTTCTGCGTGCACATGAAGAGGCACAGCCAACCTCCCTTCAAGAACTAGTCATTGGACTCTTGGCTTTGCTCCTGAATCTCAGTTTGCATGAATGAGAAACAAACTTATTTAATAACACAATGAAAATAAGTATACAGGGTTGTGATTTTTGCATCTGGCCAGGTCAGGTGAAGTAGGTGGTGTCTGCCATGTGAGCTTCTCTTTGGCCTCCCACTGGCTGAAGGACCTGAGAGGCAAAGGACCACATTATTCCTCCCCTAACAGCTCACTGCTGCTAGGTAGTGCCAAGGTTATGGGCAGTTGCTCTCTGTTAAAAAAGCTTGCATCTGAAGTGTACTTGTTTCTTGCAATATTTAGTTGAGAGTATAAAGAATTAAAATCCCTGGACTTCCACTGCCATCTCCCCTTCGCTACAGGGCTGAGCCCTGCAGCCCCTCCGTTGCTAGCATGGCTTTGACAGTACTGCCAGGCCTGCATCTCAGTCAAGGACCTAGCACTGAGGTGAAGAGTGTTCCCAGAGTATACTCTGGGCTAGATATTAAAACACGTGCTTCCTCATCCTCACTGGTAAAATTGACTTAACCCCCAACAACCCTGAAGCCCGTCATACTCTCTCTATTAACAAATGGGCTAGCAGGGTGCTGTGCTGCATGGAGAGCTCTTTGCCCACATTCTACTGAAATAATGTGTTTTGTCTTCCAGACTCCGACCTGAGCATGCGGACACTCAGCACACCCAGTCCAGCATTAATATTCCCACTGAATTCCCCCGGTTTCCAGAATGGCAGGGGGTCATCGACATCTTCATCCTCAGTCACTGGGGAAACTGTTGCCATGGTCCACTCACCACCTCCCACCCGGCTCACTCACCCGCTCATCCGGCTGGCATCCAAGCACCAGAAGGAACAGGCCAACATAGACCGGCTGCCCGACCACTCCATGATCCAGATCTTCTCCTTCCTGCCCACCAACCAGCTGTGCCGCTGTGCCCGCGTGTGCCGCCGCTGGTATAACCTTGCCTGGGACCCCCGACTCTGGAGGACTATTCACCTGACCGGCGAGACAATCAACGTAGACAGGGCTCTTAAAGTGCTGACCCGGAGGCTTTGTCAGGATACACCCAACGTATGTCTCATGTTGGAGACGGTAATTGTTAGTGGCTGCAGGCGGCTCACGGACAGAGGACTCTATACCATTGCCCAGTGCTGCCCAGAACTGAGGAGGCTGGAAGTGTCTGGCTGTTACAACATCTCCAATGAGGCGGTCTTTGATGTCGTGTCACTGTGCCCAAATCTGGAACACCTGGATGTGTCAGGTAACAGCAAGTATTTCAGTATGGGTGCCTCTGAGTCTAAAAGCTTCGTGCTTTTCAAACCCCCGGCCCCACAACTGCACACTTTCCCTTCCTGTCCTGCCTTTCAAAGTGGGAATGACAGTCTCTTAACATCGTACTGTGGAGACTGGCACTGGCTAGAATCTCAATGCCCCAAATGCCAGCAGCACCTCTAGAGTCGCCAAGCCTCTTCTGAGGGAGACTGGCTAACAGAGATGGCCCATTCAAATAGCACAAATGCTTTTTATAGATTTTTGCACCAAGAACCCTTACAAGGGCCCATGTTGCAGTTAGTGGTACATGATAGGGTAAAGCTTAACTATAAGCACAAAAATGCTTTTATCTTCATATAATATATCTAAAATTTGCATGTAGATTTATAAATTTAATCTGTAAACTAATGAATGACTTGAGCAGGAGCTCAGAATCAGTGCTAGGCTTTTGTCTAGGTGTAAATATCAATTGTCATCCCAAGCTAAACTTCAAGATCCCCTTGTTTCCATTGCTGTTTGAACCAGACTTATACCAGCTACCCTTTTTTTGCTTTGCTTGTTTTTTGTTGCTGGTTTGTTTGTTTGGTTTTTTTGGTTACACTGTATCATTGCAGTTGTTTAGATCAGCAGAAATGTTTTGGACAATTTGCCTCAGATGTGCTCTGGAGAAACAAGATAGTTTTTTCCCAAGGTCAGCGATGCAAAATTTCCTCTCTGTAAATAGGTTGGCACTTAGTTGAAAGGATGCAGCTAAGGAGAACACTGAAGTAAATTTGGTATTCAATACTTACTTTGTGGTCTCATTTGTTATCAGTTTAACATTGTTATTAATCAGCCAGACCAGATTTGCCATTGCAGAGGTACTAATGGCAACAGGCAGGACGACGTGGAGATAGGAAGCAATGCTAATTAGCCACCGGTACCCAGATAAATGGATTTTCCCAAGGTTGTCCAAGGTTGTCCATCTGCTGTACGCTGGTTCGCTTTCTTTCTTCTGCCTTTTCTGGTTTTTTTAACTGATTTATCCAACTCTTTCACCTAAAATTCCTAGGATAGCAGAATGTCAAATCAGAATTATTCACATCATGTGATTTCTGTCCAAAAATGCCAGGTAATACGGCATCTCCATGGGACTCTGTGGGAGTCCTGTCCCATGGAGTCTATTCACAGTGACCTTGTGTATGAGTTACTTATTGTCAGTACGTGCTGGCATTAACTCTGAATTGCTAACCACACATTCAGGTTGAAGCATCTCCAACACCAGGAAAAAAAATGTTTATGCCTGTGTCATTTAGACCTAGAGCTACATATTACTTTGAAGGCTGTCTGTATCCCACGCATATTGATGCTTTTCTTCCTACATCCTCTAGGGTGGTATGAGAGTTGAGTGGCTAGAGTGTCCTGGGCCTCGGGAGACAGGATAAGTAGAATTGTGATGCTGAGGGTGAGCTGCCTTGGCACACCAGCCTATTAGCTGGCACCCAGGTGTAGTTGAGGACTTTGTTGTAGGTGGCTGAAAATGCTTTGGTCCACAGCTTCTACTGATAGCTGAGATACAAACCAAAGGTGACTTTTTCAAAAGCAGGGAAAATAAAAAGATGGTGCCAGGTCTTGAAACATGATCTTTTGGGGTCTGGCTTCTTTTTCTGTTTCCCTTTGCCTATTCCTTTCAAACCTTTCAAACCACAATTTTGGTTGCTGTACAGGCTCTCCCTAGACTAGTCTGAAATGAGGCTGTGCTCTAGGTACTTGGATAAATTCTAGGATAAATTGAGGAGGTCTTACATGTGAAGATCTTTTCTGTAATCAAGTCCAAGGAGTAGTTAAAAGGACAAGGCTTGCATCTGCACACAAGCAATTTGCAGGACTGAAGTGGTTCACTGGTTTGGTTTTATACTGAGCAAGACAAGTTGGGTCCAAGTGCTGATGGGCAACACTATGCTTATAGCTAGTTAATTAAAACCCAGTTTGCAGTTGTACATTTAGTTGAATCTGACTCCCTCTTGGATGGTTACTTGGCAGCAAAAACATACCAAAACCTTTAATGTCAAAAACAGACGTTCATATTAACTTTCAGAGTTTTCCACAATGTAAGTTCTGTCACTCCCAGCATCCACTTTGTGGGCAGATCAGAGGTATCTCTAGGAGTTGGTTGAGCTTGACTGTAAGTTATTATCTAACACACTAGCCAACTTCTTTTTTTCTTTCTTTTTTTTTTTTTTTTAATCTGTTTGGAAGTTTCTCCTCTTTTTAAAAATAAGTTATACCCAGCACTTGGCCTTGTTGAAGCCCAAACCATTAACATAACAATGAGTTATTCAGAAGAGTGGCAGTAGGTTTCTCCAGCTTCTCTTAGGTTATTTCAAACAGATACAACCTATTTTCACTTTAAAAACTCTGCTTTACACAACTGTTCAAAGGGCTTAATCTTAGGACAACGGTGCTTGAAGAAAAATGCATATGAACTTGCATGTCATTCATAACTAATGCATTGCCAACCTACACCTTTTTACTATCTAATTATCATGTGGAAGTCTGTCAAAACTGTCAGAAGCTTTTTTTTTTTTTTTTTTTTAATCTGTTTGGAAGTTTCTCCTCTTTTTAAAAAATAAGTTATACTTACTTTATGGAAAATTCTGCTGCAAGAGCTTTGTTTTTACATTTTTTATTATTTAGGACAGAAAAGTTGTTACAGACCCAGGAACCTGTCATTCTGCCTAAAATTTAGGCAGTTCTATATCAACATGGACTCCTTTTTCGGGTGAAACTGCTCTTAATACCCTTCCCATTAAATATTTTACAGTGTAGCCAAAGTAACTAGACAAGACAATGCTTAGGTTGTCAAAACAGTGTTCACACACTGATGTACAGTGACTTCAACCCTGCTGTGAGACTTCTGACCCATTCACTTTCTAATTGCAGTCATTAAAGCGTTCCCCCTTCTTGGATCCTCAGCATACAGAAAGTTTTCCATGGCCTCATCAACCCTTCATTCTCACTTTGCCAGATTTTAAAATTGAATTCTGGTCAGCATGTGAAATATCCAGCAACCCCCTCAGGCAAGCTCAATAGCCACAGCTATTTCAGATCCAGCAGAACTTTGTCTAGGTCTCAGCTTCTTCTGTGGAAACCCAGCTCAAGGATGGAGAGAGTTCCATGGTGCATTTTTTATCACCTACTCCAAAGAACATATTAAAGGTGAAATTTTTACATTATTAGTATTGTACTGCTTTCCCTTAGAAAAATCACTTTGTCTTAATGAGCATGTATGTAGTACTTATTTGAAGGCAAACATACTTTCAAAGATTGCACCAGAGCATAGCTGGTTCTACAACACAGTATAAAGGGGAAGTATCAGCATTCAGTTTTAAGAAGAATTTGTTTGTTGAACAAAGTGATTTGCTTCAAGGTCCCAGAGCTTCTGTGTGACCTGTGGGCAGTTTGGCTATTTCATTGTGTGAGGCCTGAGGTAAAATATGCACCTTTTCAAATGAATTGAAGCAAAAAATAAAAATCCAGCTGCAAAATCAAGTTTTGTATGTACAAATCTAATTGCAGGTGCCAAACTGTTTCAAGTCCATATCCCATGCTTCTTACAGCATTTGTGTGAGACCACTGAAGTATCTCAAGGGTTTTTTTTTTTCTTTTTCCTTTTTGCTTTTAAGAACTGAGGCATATTCATAACTTCCTTCAAGCCTCAGAATGAGAACCTACTCTATCAAGTGGTATGGGTTTCAGTCATTGAGGTTTATGAGGTGGTCTCCATACAATGTCATGCTCTTTACCTCCAGACTGCAAGATTTGTGCAGCATTTCTGATAAACAGCGCTCTAAGGTCATCATCCTAACTCTTCTGCCTTTCCATGGGTCACTTCATCCCTGTTGGCCAGTGTTTCAGCAATGCAGAAGAGCCTTGATAACTAATGAGTAGACCCTCCCTTCTTCCTTGCAGCTGTTTCTAGCTATGCTAATGTAATATGCCCAGCTGAACTTGGCACAAAGAAGAGTTTTCCTTCAGGAGCCAGAGACTGCCAGTTTGCAGTGCAGTAGAAACAGCACTTTCCTCCCCCCCCAAAAAAAACCCCGAAAAGCTTTCATTCACCACCATGCACAGAGTGAAGGTTAAAAAATGGGGGAAGTGTGTGTGTGTTTTTCCCTTTAACCTGTATCTTCCCTTGCAAGGTCTGGTGTTTCTGCTCTAGCCTAGTTACCTCCATTCATGGCCAGCCCTTTTCTGCATCTGTCCACGTCCTCTTATGCCCTTACCAGCCTGTTGGCTCCTGCTGACTCTCCCCACTCTCCTTGGGCTACCCGAATCTCCACCCTCCCACAAGCACATAGTCTTGCTGTGGTTTTGCATCCTTCCCACATTGCAAACTTGGGGCTGGATTCACATCTGTTCCCCAAATGCTTTTTGGAGAGTGGGTGGGGTTTGTCTTTTTTATAATGGGGCTGGATGGTGAAAGTGTCTCTGATGTTGGTTTGCAAACTCAGCCAGTCAAGCAATGAGAGCACCTCTGATGAAAATGCTGTGTTGATTGTCATGTAGTACCATTTTTGCAAATTGTCACTGGGTTTATATTGCTGTAACAGATCACGAGCTGTCCCCAGATGAACCTAGGACCATCATTCTACATTCTTTGTCTATGGACAAAACCGGTCTGTCCCTTTGCTAGTGCTCCAAATCCCAAAGCATCCTCCCTGACTCCAGTGGAGTTTATCGTTTCCTGCAGTGTAGGGACACATCACAGCAGATTCAGGCTAGCTGGTCAGGCCGGTGACCATCCCTCCGGCACCTCCAGCTCGCAACTTCACGCCCACCTTTCTGGCCCTGCTGTCTCGCTCGGTTTCTGGCGCTTTGCCTAAATCCCCCTGTGTTTTTCTGCTTCAGGCTGCTCCAAAGTAACGTGCATCAGCCTGACCCGCGAGGCCTCCATCAAGCTGTCTCCCTTGCACGGGAAGCAAATATCCATCCGCTACTTGGACATGACAGACTGCTTCGTCCTGGAGGACGAGGGGCTGCACACCATCGCCGCCCACTGCACCCAGCTGACCCACCTCTACCTGCGCCGCTGCGTCCGCATCACCGACGAGGGTCTCCGCTACCTGATGATTTACTGCACGTCCATCAAGGAGCTCAGCGTCAGCGACTGCCGCTTTGTCAGCGACTTCGGGCTGCGGGAGATCGCCAAGCTGGAGTCGCGCCTCCGCTACCTGAGCATCGCGCACTGCGGCCGCGTCACGGACGTGGGGGTCCGCTACGTCGCCAAGTACTGCGGCAAGCTGCGCTACCTCAACGCGCGGGGCTGCGAGGGCATCACGGACCACGGCGTGGAGTACCTCGCCAAGAATTGCACAAAACTCAAATCGCTGGATATCGGCAAGTGCCCTCTGGTCTCAGACACCGGCCTGGAGTTTCTAGCCCTCAACTGCTTCAACCTGAAGCGCCTGAGCCTGAAGTCGTGCGAGAGCATCACTGGGCAGGGCCTGCAGATTGTAGCTGCCAACTGCTTCGACCTGCAGATGCTGAACGTGCAGGACTGTGAGGTCTCTGTGGATGCCCTGCGGTTTGTGAAACGACACTGCAAGCGCTGTATTATAGAGCACACCAACCCTGCCTTCTTCTGAAGGGACACCCCTACCTGTCGTTGCAATGCAGTATGAGAAACACTGATGTATAAACACGTGCTCCCGTATTCAGTAATGCTGTAATTTCTATAGCTCATGGGAGTTAGCTTTTCCTGTATGTTGTGGGTGTGGGGGGGGTTTCTAGAGGACTATTTTCTTGGCTTTTTGTATGATCACTTTTTTAAGGTGCGGTGGGTCTCCGTGGAGAGGCTGCCTTAATGCTGAGTGCTCCGCATCCCCAGTGGGGTGCCATTTCCGTAACAGCCATGATCTTGTACCACGCTACAGTAGCTACCTCCAAAGGAAATAGCACATAATCCCTCCTTTGGAAATGCTACTAAGCTGTCTTAAATACATCTGAATTCCAGCTGTGCTCACGAAGCTGACTATGCAATGTGTGTTCCTCAACTTCTCCCAATATGACTGATACAGCATCCCCTCATCTCCAGGTAGTTTCTTTTTGATAGCAATCCATTGTAATCCCTCAGGAAATACTGGGTAATGTTCTTAAGCTTATTTGATTTAGGCAAAATAAGACCTGCTGGCCAGTGCCGAGCATTCTGCTGAGTGAATATGGAGATTGTGCCCATAATGGAAATAATGGAATTATTAATTTTGGAAAGCTCACCTGCAGGCCACATGTGTATCATCACTATTCACCTTCATTTCTGAATCTACCCTCTCCTGCATGTGTAGTACCACCCTCTGGCAGCAGATAGGGTCTTCTGGGTCTGATAAGCAGTCACATATTAACCCGAGTGGAGGAAAACAGATGAAATATTGGTGGCCTGGCAAAGGAAAAAGCCAACAAATCAGCCTGGAAAGCTGCTGTAATTCTGCAAAAAGCCGAGACAGAAGTGTAGTACACCAGGGACTGTCTGAGGAGTTGTGGCGTGGCTTGCACAGAGCAGTCCCAATTGCTATGCTGTTCAGCTGCTACCAGTTTTTGTACCTTCACTGGATCTCTTCAGCAGCCTTGGCACCACTGCAGTTGACACACCCTGAGCAAACCAGGCACGTGCATTGAGGTGAACTCAGTATGTGCCTTACTACATATAGAAACCTGACACTTTTCTGTGGCCTTCCAGTTCAAAGGATAGGTGGAGACTTCAAAGATAGCCTGGTGTTAGATAACACCCCTGGTGACAGGGGGGCTTAGAGTGTTACTCACATTAGGCTGAGATTTTGTGAAACCTTGTCTGTGTGTGTTCCCTTAGGCTGGAGAGACAGCTGCTGTTCAACAAAGAATCAAAAAGCCAGAGTTTGCCCTGTGACACTGGGAGCCCCCTGTGTTCTCATGGCCACTCTTGCTCATGCAAGAGCAAGAGCAGTTTGGAGGTTCTCTCATCTCGTTGCCTCCTTCCCCGGAGCGTGTATTCATTTCATGGTTACTTTCTTCACAGTTTTCTGGCAGCCGTTTCTCTGCATTTCCACATGTAATGCTTGGATCTGAAAGCCAGACACGTTAGGGGTGATGATATTTTCAGGCAGGCCCCCTACGCCTGACTGACAGGTGAATTCATACGTTCAGCTCAAACACTATAAATGTCTCGGCAGAGAACATAAGAAGGGAAGCAGCGTGTCTGGTTTTCATAAGCAGTAGTTCCATCATCTCCAGACAACACTAATAAAATCATTGATATGAAGTGAAAATCCATATGCTTGAGCAAAATACATAACTGCTGAGGAAATACTTGTAGCAATGCTCTCTCAAATTACAAAAAAGCAATGGTTTGGACATGTCCCTGCAGAGGGAACTTGTCCTACTGCTGCAAAAATTCCTGTAACTTATGTATGTTCCTCCAATTTTGGGTTTCTTAACATACAGGATGTCATCAGCTCTGAATTATAAATCAGATTGTCCTAAAGAGGGCCATGGAAAATGAATTTGTCATTGCTACTATTACTGGTCAGTGACTAATAAGGGGTGATGCTATCTTTTGGCCAGTTCATATCTTTTCAGTTTTCCTTTCTGTATTTTTAAAATTAGAGATTCTTCTCCAGCAAGTAGTACAGTATATTTTATTTGAGCCAGCTATACTTGCTCTTTATCCTTTATCTCAAAATGGCCCTGAGGATAGTTAAATGTTAAGCCCACTCCTGAGGATAGTGGGATTTTGAGCCATTTGCACTCATTAAATATAAGGCCTCATTAGTAACATGGGTCTGTTTATTAAAAAAAAAAAAAAAAAAAAAAAGGCAAAAAAAAAAAGCTACTTTTCTAGCTATGCTAAATTGACTGAATAGTGCTACATGGTTTTTAAGGTTTCTAATGTTTAAATTGGCCTGTACTGTACAAATCTCACTATAAAGCCTTAATTTGCTACCAAGAAATAAAGCAATATATTGGTAACTAATGAGCGTGCATCATCATTTGCACTAATTGGTTAACTTTTGGTGAAAAAGGAAATATCAAATACTTATAAAACTTCTCTTGAAGGGTAGATAGGTAGGTAGGTAGGTAGGTGAGTGAGCACATCAACACATCAGGTAGGTGGATGGCTATGTTAAAGAGGAAAATATTAATATTAAAGGGGGGAAAATATTTTTTGTAGATTATAACCTTGCCTACCTATCTTTTTTATTTTCCGCACGTGGTTCTTCCTGACTTTGAAACATAATCAGTAACTGAAAGTGTAAGTAAAAGAAAAAACAGTATATAAAAATCACTTAATAAAAATTTCAGGAGGGCCTCTGCATTTTTTTAAAGGCAAGTTGCTGTATTTGATGTGAAACGTAAAATGGAATGACTGAAAGAACAGAGCACTTACTATTGTAGTGTTGCCCTTTGAATGCTCTAAAAAACTCACTTTGGGGAGCACTGGTGGAAAGTGAATAAAGATAATTTTTCTATGCCAAGCATTTTTAAGTATATAGTTTTACACAAACTGAGTTGACACTCTTGAGACTGCTACTCATTTTAAGAACATTTGAACTTAACTTATTGATACAGCTTGCCTATTTTGACTTTTCACCTTTGTCCTATGTCTATTTGAAAATTACATGACCAGAAAAGAAGAAGCTGAAATAGTGCGTGTGGAGCTGAGTTTGCTGGAAACGTTACAACATGTGAGTGATGTGTCTTCATTCCAGTTTGGGGCTGGCAAAGGCTATAAATTTCCCAAGCAGAAACACTGTTGATTCTTGAACCATAAAATTCAGGCTCAGGCACTGAGGGTTCTTCTGCTCTGCAATAGCATGTGGTGATCTCATCAAAGAAAGCAGTGATGGAGCCCATCAGTCAGGCTGGCATGTTGTTTATGTCTTTGGAATAACTTGTGTACTGTAGAGAGAGGTCTCTTAGAAAAGGTACATCTAAAGTGCCATGCAATGCGATTCTAGCCAATACTCTGTATCTGGGTATTCATCCTTCTCATTCCCTTGGCTTCCACAAAAAGTGGAACTGTATTTTCCCTGTTAGCAGCATGAGATTGATGTGAGGGGCAGCACTTTTGTATTTTTGTGCTGTGCTCATCTGGCTTCCTGCAAGATGCAAAACAGCTTCTATTGGTTTTCTTGGACTCAGAACCATGGTCCAGACTGTAACCTTCAGTCGTGGCTTACGTGGTTTCTGAAAACATCCAGCCTTTGAACTGGAAAATTAAAAAGCTAGTAAAAGGCCTAATTTTAGCATTAGGCTTGAAGCAGATCCAAACTCAAGTTAAAAAGAAATTCAGTGACCATTTGGGCTGCAGATTGGCTGCCCCACAGCTGCCAGGGTTGGTTTAAAGGGGAAAAGTTCTCTGACATAGTTGGTGCGTGGTTCCTTTTCCCCCGGCATTCTCCAGGAAAGTAACCTGCCCTTGGCTTTTTATAGTTTTGTCAATTTATCTATTCGTGCTGAAACTTCCCATGCTGGGCTTTGAAAATGTTAGTTGAAATGGTTCATCTGGTTCTGCAAATAAAGCTAGGAGGAAATGTCATTTTGCTCATGTTCAACTCCTGGTGACCTTTCCTTTGAAAACAGTTCCTTGCTCTTCGTCTCTTCTAAGGCCTTCAGAGTCAAAGTGTGAGCCTTGCCAGGAGGTCAACTTCAGGGCAAGGATGTGTCTTACTGATCTCCCAGTTAAAATTCACCCAAATTTAGCTACGCTGTGTGTCTATCAACATCTCCAACTCCATGACCAGGGAGAAAAGGGACACGCTCAGATCTTTTGGAGCTTGTAGTCTGGCACAGCTGAGATTTGGCAAAGCTAAGAGGCGTTTTTCACTCTGGGAGCATGAGGGATGAAATGACCTGGAATTATATGGAAGCTGCTTGGAAAGTCAGGTCAGGGTTGAAAGATGGGGTTTTTAAGAACCTGACAAGAAGGATGAAGCACATTTCCTGGGCAAGGGGGACTGCAACTGATATGAGAAGAGAGTAAATGATTTTCAGCAAAGAAACTGGGACTCAGGTTAGGAGAGGTGGGTTTGTATGACTTGTTGAGCAGGAAGAGCTGGGCCAGAGAAAATGTAAGTATTGAAGAATGAAGTTTGGGGCAGAAGCAGAAACATGAAGAAAATTAACTGAATGTCATGTAAATTCAGTACGCTCCTTTGGCAAAAGCTCTGAGAAAGGTTAATAAACTGTTTCAGTGAGAATGCATCAAACCTTTCAAAAACAAAGTAGTCATTTTGCATTTAATGCATCCATTATCTACCCCTTTTTTGTATTTTGTAAAGCCAGAAAATCTTTGCAGGCTTAACTTCTGTTTTTACCAGCAAATGTAAGCGGAGGCCTAAGACATTGTCAACCTCATTGTCTTGTTCCTACCTTCACACTTTTGCACAAGGTCGTCTGTCGAGAAGGAACAAGGCAAGGAAGGTTTGTAACATCTCTTCTTCCTTTTGCATTGTATTTCAGCAACACGAGCTGTTCTGCATTGCTGAGGTGGAGGTGTTGGTGTGGAGCCAAATTTGTGCCCTCTTGATGATTGCTAAAAGGCATCATAATAATAGGTTCAAGTTACTGCCAGGCGGTAGACATCAGAATTCAAGCTTTGCTTAACAAAAATATA